TGGAAAACCCTGCGAATCTGCATGAAATGTCAAGCTGTCAGCAGACTCACAGCGGCCAGTTTCGAAGACTTTTGATCCCAGCGCAACCTACGGCAGCTGACTTCGTCCGACGGGAGGTGTGTCTTACATGTAGTGCTCTCTGTTGCATCACGCAGTGAGACCGCCGACCTCAGAAACGTGAGCACATGCTTCCAACAATCCTCACATTCGTGGCACCAGTCTCATGATGAGCATTCACAAGATGCGGGGCCTTTGCAGCGGGCTTCCGGCAGCAGCTCCTCTTTCCGGGCACTGTCAAAGGTGATCACTGGTGAATTGCAGGTTGACTAACCGAGACTTCACCTTCCACCAAACACTGCAAGAACGAGACTGCACTCTGCACGAGGACTGCTGTGAAGTTCGCTCGAACTCGACCAGCACATGCAACTCGCACGGAAAACTTGAGGAGGATGTATTGGGCATGGCAGCCCATGGATGATTTGTTCACGTGTGTGGCGGCTCAAGGCCAGAAAGCGACAAGCGCTGACAGAAGCAGTCCGTGTGACCGCAAGCTCGCCACTCCATCACACGACCTCGCAGCAGCACTGCTGCAGCACAGTGTCTGGGTCGATCACTCATACACTTCTGAGGTCCCGGCTGTTGCTTTGCTTCGGACTGATCCCCGCATCTGCCAGAAACTCTTTTTCTTTTGCTGCCTTGGCTGGAGACACATTCCCGCAGCTTGCAGCTGGGACGGCATACAGCATCCACGAGCACAGTGCAAAGTCACCCGCACGGAATCCAACATCATTAAAACAGCCAAACCCTTTTGGCTCTCTTGGACAAGTTTGGAAGCCGCCGTCATCGAGTCTTCGACGAGCTCTCTCCGAGAATGCGTCGAAGAAGCTATTGACTCACAGTGTCTCCTCGTCATCCTGCAAGAATGCATGTGTACTTGTCTTAACTGCGGCCAAATCTGTTCGGGCTGTTCCTGACTACATACTTCGGCGGGTAAGAGTGACGCTTTGATGTAGCTGATAGCACTGGCCTTGGGTCATGGGCTGAGTACCTCCGGTGTGAAATCTGTCCATGTTACCCCTCCTGGAAGAAGTCGTAGATCGAAGTTGCTTTTGCTTCTCTCTTTTCCACCTCAAGAGAGCATCGTGGTCTCAGCTCCCAGCCACAGCTGCCGACTTGCAGTCGCAACACATGTGGAGAGCTTTCGTCAAGCTGCCGACTGGAGATATCTACACCACCCAGCCTTCTCCTCTGCAGCTTCAGCTGCGGGTGCCGATTGGGCCTTCGATGCCTTCCCAAGTTCTCTCAGCGACGCAAACGCTGTCTCGGATCGCGTAGAAACGTGATAGCATTTCGCTGCGAAAGAGCCCAAGCCCAAGCACACTGGTGACTTCCATCTGGGCTTAGTCTTCAATTTCAATGTCGTCATTGCGGTTGTGTGCTGACTTACTTGCGGTGAACCACACAAGGTTGCTGTCTATGCTTGCTTCCTTCTGCCGTCGTTGCTCTGCTGACACTGCTGCCATCGTCAGTTTGTGCAGAATCGAGTTTCGCATCATGGCCACCCTGCGAGCTTTTCTTACTCCACGCTGCACGCAAGCAGATACGTGTTGCATTCTCGAAGGTGCCGAAGAAACGTGTGTATGGTTGTGCTTCTTCCTCGTTGATATAAAAAAGCATCCTTGCACACGTCGTTTTTTTCGAAGCATCTTTCGTGAGTTGTGTATGCACGTTCGCGACGCACTCAAAGGTACTACATTCAAGCAGTGCCGTCTGCCAAGTCTTCATTGAGATCTGTGTCCATGAAGACATGCACAGAAGAATTATTTTGGCCATGGCCTCTTTGGCAAGCGGAGCAGGGGTTTCGCCTGGTGCAGAACAGGATGGCATGCTCAATCACGGCAAGCACCAGTTTGGCTACAGCAACCGAGCAATCACCCAGTCTACCGCGAAGATATGCAAGTTTTACATATGTTTTTTTTTTTTTTTTTATGGTTGTGGCTTTTTAAGAGCGGTTGAACCCACTTGACGTTCGCAAGGAGCGCTGTCTACTGGCCTGGGGCTGCCTTCCACGTGCAAGTAGCTGCCTTCGGCGCCGGAGCAAAGCCTAGCTGGCAACACTGCGGAAAGAGCCCACGGCTCAGCTTCCGCTAGCTCGAACTCACTCTGTATGGTCGCTGGCGCGCTCTGGAAGGACACCTGGCCTTCAGATGTATCATATTCACCAGTTTCGATTAAAACTTAGAAAAACTAATTAATTCGACGATGGACACAAAGCATGACCATGGTCCCTCGAATCTTTCTGAAAATCTGCTGAACTGCCAACCGACAGCCTTGCGGCATTCGGAGATGCTCCGCGCCGCTTGTCCTGCAGAGTCTCCGGTAATCTCCGTTCAAGCCGCAAGCAAGAAGCAGTCGAAGGACTGAGGCAGGGGCATGTACAGCTCATCCCACGGATCTGCCAAGCTGTAAGGCCTCGTCCATCGGGCTTTGAATTGCATCTTGCTCGCGGGAAGTGTCGTGTAGATTGGGAGGCGCTGCGCGAACTTAGATGAGGCATCTAGCAAATGCGCTGCATCAGAAGTCGGGGCTCAGGCCCCTTGCGTGGTGCCCGACTTACCTGGCAGTGGATGTGACTCACCGCAGGGGAAATCATGTGTTCGCACGATAACAGCCTACAACCAGTTTCGTAATCCCACCGCTGCACCCTAAACCATTGTTGTATCCTGTCGTACCTACTGCTGCAGACATGCTCTGACGGGCAGACCTCGTCTGGCGGCAGAGTCGCCCCAAAGCAGCGCGTGGCCTGTCAACCGCCAAGCGCTCTTCGTTCGTCCATTTTGCCCCAGGCACCAGCTGCAAATCAAGGAACGGCTGACCTGAAAGCGTCGCCGGTCTGGATCATAGATGAGGTCAAACATTACGAAACCTGCCATGCGCAGTCTGACCATCCTAGCAACCGGGGTGAACTGCAGCAAAAGCTAGCAACACACGGACGATGCATGGGCGGCTGTTTGTCATTTGCCCAGGCATCTGCTCTGACTCTCATTGAGGCATGGACTATCAACGATGAGACTTTGCCCATCTTTCAGCACCTGAGAAGTTGTCAAAAACCTATGCGCGCAGCCTCCATAGCATCTTCTAAGATCCTGGCAGATTTGTGCACGAAAACCTGAGTACCGCACACAGTCCACGTCCAGCAACAAACTGCTGTCCAGGCGCCCGAGTGCCCTCGCATCCTCTGCACCTCCTTCCGGCGTGATGAAGCCGAAAGCGCGATCCTGGCACTGCGCCACGGCTGTCCCTAGCCGACACACAAGAAATTGCGAAACAATACAGTATGGGTCAGCTTCCGCGATGCTGAATGGCACTGTGCACGCAACACACAAACACACACTCTGGAATGGAAGCAACTGGAGGCTTTCGCACTTCAATCTCAACCACAGCAATACAACGTAAACCCTAACTCCCATTCCCCATTCCCCAGCCCTAGACCGTAAATCCTTAACCCTACAAGGGGGCGTTTAACGTTGATGGTTCAGTGTTTAGCACAAGGGCACCCCATGTTGCCAGCTTGTTTTCCCATCTCTTCAATACATGGATGTAACCGGGGCAAAGTTAAAGATATGTTTAATGAGCAACACAAAGACTACAACAAATTTGCTTAGTAGTGACGAATGGGCAACAGTTAAACATCGAATATGTTTATATATATATATATATGTACACACATACATATGGACATAGATATGCACACACGCACACATGCATACTCGCCTCACACACACACACGTGAACATACAATACATTTGTGTCCATACTGTAAGTATAGCTCTGAAAGAAACTTCCCAAAGAAGGGCCGGCAACTACAAACTGCCTTGTTGCTACCTTCCCAATCCTTCAAACAAATCCAACATGTTTCGATAATGAGAACCACCAAATCGCGATGCACGAAGCCCGCCGGACAAGTCACAGAGCTGCATGTTCCTGCAGTACAAAAACTGTGGCTGAAAATGCATACTTGAAGCTCTTTGTCGTGCAACTAGGAAACTCTTGAAGCCTCGTTGAAAATACTTTCCACTTGTTGGTGTCTCTGTGCTGTGGGCTTTGTAGAACCGTGCTTTGTGTTGGTGTGTGTGCTGTCTGCCGTTTCTTCCCCAAAAAAAGACTGTAGTTCGCAATTCTCGAACCTCTTTCCTGCCTTTCGAATCCCGACCCACAAAACCAAGCAGGCGAAAACACCAAAGGAGAGCTGCTCAAACTAGCTTCACGAAGGCTGCAATCAATGCCACTGCCTCGAACCAGCACTTCACTTTGCCGGTGAGAAGGTCGCTGTAGTTCTCTGGCGGCCTATCAACGATTCTGCAAAGCACGCAAATCCTGAATGGCCATTGGAATGTGGTTGTGTGTGATGCTAAATTCTTGCCGCCCAAAAGCAACTCGACGAGAGGTGGCGGCTGGTCGTAAAGCGGAGGCGCACCCGCCGCCTGATCTCAAGGCTTCCACTTGAGCGAGTTATATTACAGTATACTGTATAATACTACGAGAATTAGCATAATACATATTGTATGTTAGATGTTACTTGCCTATGCTCTGCGGCATACAACGGCACTTGACAATGTTCGTGTATCAACCGCAAGGCAGGTGCCCAGCGAAGAACTTTCGCTTGACTGTCGTTTGTGGCACTATGCGGTCATGGCGCGTACACAGCTCCGAAGCATGACCTGTGTGACCTTCGAGACGTCCGCAAGGGGGCAGCAACAATTTCCCCAACATTGCAGCCATTGTGCGATATGTCACCGCTTCGTGTCGCGGCGCATGAGCATTCCACGATCGTCACCATCGAGGATCCAGCACATCTGAATTCATTGTGAGTCTTGAGTATCCAAACTTCTGACTTCAGAACCTTCGGACACTCTGCGGTTTGAGATGCACGTTCCCTCCTCGTGCATTTCTGCTCGTGAGGCCCTTCAACATGTTCTGCCTCAGAAACGCAGAAAACACAGTGCGTCGGTGTAGCCGTAGATTTCGTCGCAGCTCGATGGACATCTGCACCGATCTGACAATTACAGGTACGGACAGGCATAATCACGACATGATCGCGTCTTGTATTTTGACATCTTGAGTCGTTGAACACACCACCCCTCGAATAGCATGAATCGACACCCACGCTTTGGGATCCCGATTGCAAATTCAATTGGCCGGGCCATCTGCACCGAGGTATCTTCTCCTTTTGTTGAGAGGGTACTTCACTTGCATACAGGGCTCTCGGCACGATGACGCATGCCCTTACAGTTGTCAAAATTAGTGTACCCTCCGTTCATGGCATGAGGATTTCTGAGGATTGCAGCATGCTCAAACAACAGCACAAAGACTCAACTTGCAGAGCTAGCAAGCTGGCCTTCGAGAACGTTCCAGGTTCTGGCGGGCCTGAAAGCTGACAACAAGTCACCAGCAAATTCGAAGATGATGGCCAAGGCTTGGGCCAAGTGCGAGCATCACTGCTTGATGTTGACACCTCAGATTGCAAGGAGGTGGCAATTTATGGGTCTCTGCTGGCCCCTTGGACACATGCAGCAGTCAGTGCTTTAAAGTGACTGCAGATACTGGCTCTTCACGACTTTCGGGACACTTGCGATCCACGGCTAGTTGGCAAGTTGTCACTCGGACAGCGGCAACACTCGCTGTGTGAGCAACACTGCCTTGCATCAGCTTGTTGCCTGGCTGCATGTGTGTGCCAAGACATGCTATACAAGTAAGACTCGACCTGCAAATTCCACGCTGCGCCAAGTTCATACTGGCCTTGGGAGGTCAAATCCGCCGGCGCTTCATCGCTGCGCAACCCGCAGGTACACAAGCAAAGGCTGGCCAATCCCAAACTGTACTTTGAAGCTACCGTGCTTAGTCCTGTCCAATGCATGTGAGTGCTATGGGTAGAGCTTCTTCCTCTTGAACTGCGACGTAAACCGGTGCAAGAGGTGCAACACCACTGGAATTGCTTAATACCGAAGCTCAAAAGCCGTCTGCAGAGGCCGAAGATGAGCACTCCGAATGCTTCAGCACTTCAGATTCTGTCTGGCAACCGGGGTTCCGCCTTGTTTTGCCGGCGCAAGTCCATGCTCAGATCTCGGGGATGTGTAAGTAGCTGTAGCTAACCTCTGAAAGGGTCGATGTGCTGTCGGCAAAATCTCCAGGCAGATCGAAAGGTTGTTTCTATATTTTTCGTCCACCAAATCTTCAAGAGGACTGAACCACTGCTGTATTCTACCTTTCAAATCATAAGGCATAATCCCACGATATCTAACATCCGATGCCAAGCCTCTGTCTGTATTGCATACAGCAACAACCCTAGGTCATACTGTGGGGGGAGACTTACACCTGAAACTGAGCTTTCAACATCACATCCTGAGCCCCAGCAGCCATTAAAACGTTATAAACCTCAGTCCAGTGGACCCTGAACCCTAAAATCGCAGAGCCCCAGACCCCTAAACCCTAAAGCCACAAAGCCCTGAAACCTTCCTAAACCCCTGAGCCGTAAACCCTAAACCCATTGCCAGCTACTCACACTGCACAGGGGACCTGTTTTATGCATACACGGCCGTGAGACCATGGGAGTCGAAGCTGGGCCTGGCGGGTGAGCGCACTATTACTATTATTACTGCTATTATATTGGTATTATTATTACTGGTATGATGATTGATGATTTGATTATTGCTATTATGATTACTGTTATTACTATTGTTGTTGTTACAATTAGTTTTGTTGTTATTGCTGGTGTTGTTGTTAGTTACTACTTACGGTTTACGGTTGTTTGCAGTCTGGGGTAGTTGCCAGCTTCACCACCCATGCTTCACGGAGATGGGCCGACTATGCAATTGCATCGACGGGGTGAAACGAGTATTCCAGGGCGTGTGAGACATGTAGTGTAGGTTTAAACAGTTGTCGCATAAGTTCGTAAAGACGGCAGTGGGAGTCTCGAATGCGTGTGTACCTCAACAAAAACTTTCACAACAAGGAAACATGGTTCACGTTGCCACTAAGGCCACCCAGAGCGCGCTCAGATATTCTCAGCAGCACCCCGACCATGCTCTCTGTGATCAAGTCTCGACCAAGGCCACAGGCTTATCTCTGTGCATGCTGAAACATGCGAAGCTCCACGTCAGTGTATGCGGGGGCCACACAACAAAGAGAAGAACAGACTGACAACATGCGATGCAGCTTGCGCCTAGGCAGTGAAATCGGCTTACTGAACCGAGACCCAGGTCCAAAATAATAGCTGGCTCGCATCGCATGTCGTGTTTGAATGCAATGTCTCGTGCAAAGACGTCCATTATCGATGCTCGCGTGTCCTTGCAGCGAACGTGCTCTAGAGCGCACGGTAGGGTCGTGCATCACAGCAGTCACCATGCAGCGTGATGCAGCGTGCTAACATCATTGATGTCGTGGACGGCTGAGGCTAGCTTAGCTTTCAAAGACGTTCCACAGCTCAAAATGCATCTAGCATCTGACAGAAGAAGCACAGGCTTGAACGAAAGCTGCCGAAACATTCAGGCTTAAGATGTAGCGAATCAGCAGTTAGTGCTCAGGATTCGCGCACTTGGGGCGTAGAAAGGTAGAGATTGTTTTGATGCCTCGGCCAACAAACGAAGGCTCGAAGGACATTTCTGCTGAAGCCAACAGTCGGGACCAGAGATTCTGCGCTGGGGCTTGGGCAGGAAACTAAAGGGCAAAAAGTATTCAGGATCAGCTCGGCAGCTCCGAAAAGATCTTGGCTGTCTTGGCTCCTCTTCTGGGCGCAGGCAGAGCGAAAGACCGCAGCGCAAGCAGCGCTTACCTGGCCAAAGCAAGGGACAGCCAAGTGCGCCCAAACTCGTCTTTCAGCGTCAAGCGGCTCACTGCCCTCGCCTGCCGTTGAGAAGGGCTGCCAGGTCCAGATCCTCCTGCGCCGAGGAAGCATCTAAAGGTTGATCCGGTCTAGTTCGCCAGCTTTCTGCAAGACCTCAACATACACCAACCAATGCCACAGCTACAAAAAGTCAGGCTCTACAATCCTCCGCTGGGATGTCCAACTGCAAGCCATCAACGGTGGTGTACCTCAAAGCCGGCTGCACAGGCCACACGCATGCACCGCAATGGTGTTGGAACATGTTGGAACTGCTCAACGTGAAAGGAGAAATGGTTCTTGCTGCTCCGGCCTGATTTGATGGGCATATGAGGATGGCGTACTCTGGCCGCTCCCTTCGCAGGGACCTCGCAGTGGCACATGACGCTGCAAGCAGACATCGCACTTCGTCTCTGACACGACTGGGCATGCAGCCATTTGCTGCCGTTTCTGCACCACCACTGGCCTCAGCACAGCAGCGGGATGCTGACCATGCATCGCTGCGATTCGCCTTCGTGCTACATTTCCCAGCGCCTGCTAGGCCAACTAGGCTCTGATGACTCGTTCCTTGTTGTTGCTTTGCCGCCCGATCTGCTCTTGACTTTGAGCTCGCCTGGAGGCGAGAGTGGGTGGCTCAATGAGCATCATCCATCACGCCAGATACCTCGCAAGACCTACAGCACAGCGTCTGGTGGCTCGAAGTGCGGTCGGATTTCCCGAGCTGTTCGTGCAGATCTCCGCCCCCAAGTTTTAAAGGCCCGAACAGCCGCTTAGTGGCATGCCGCAGATTTTTGGAAGCGTTGCATCTTTAAGTGCTGCTGCATCCCTTCTTGTTTTCGTGGCATGCAAGCGCACGGCATCCGTGGCATTCTCCCCTTCCAGACCATATCAATCTAGATGCGCGTTTTACACTGCATCTCTGAGGCAGGCGCAGTGCTGGCATTGCTCATGGCACTGGTCGAGTGCTTCTGCCGCAGCTTGTCCACCTATCCGGGAAGCACAAGTCATGGGATGGGGAATGATGAATGTCTTGCTGGGACATCCGAGCATAATCCTGAAAATCAATGAGCATTTGCGTTCGATGACATGCAGGCTGCTTCCTGTATGCTTTCCCTACATCGGTCTGCAACGTACGATGGACGAACTAGACTACATGTCGCATTCACGCATTGCGCTGTTCTAAATGCTTCCTGTGTACGAATCTGCCAGCCCCTGGTAGCATGGATTGATATGCTTCTCTGGGGGTGCAGCCGCATCCCCTGCAGCTCCAGCAGCGTTCCTGCTCAAGGCAGGGCATGGCCCAATAGAGAAGACCGAAAAGAGAGCGGTTATCAAAACCTCTTGTCAATCCGTTGACGCTATCAAACCCTTGCGCTTATGGTGCGCGCAGCTTCCGCGGAGCCAACTGTGCCTTATGCGCGGGCTCTTGAGTCAGCTCTTAAGCTTTAAGCCTTCCCTGCGCCGTTTCGCATTTCAGGTCTTTGCGCACACCGCTTCCGCAAGATATCCTTGCGCACACCCCTTCCGCGCATCGGCTTTTAAAGCAACCGGTGAGCAAGCCTTACGCGCATGCGACTGTTGCTTACACGCCCATGCGCGCCCATTCGTTATTAATTGCCGGCCCTAGTCTGGCTAGCTCTTCGATGGTTTAGCTCTCCGCTCAGCTGAGATGCGGACACGCGCACTGCCTGGCGCGATGCGGAGCTGGGCCTTTTCGAGGCATTTAGAACGAAAAACAAGAGAGCTTTCCTCTGCAGATACTGCTCCCAACCATGGAAGCAAAAAGTGGAAATTCCAAAAGTGCGAGCAACTTGCTTGCCTTGCACCCGGAGGTGCACGTGGTAGCGGCGGCCGTGCTGGAGCAGGCCTGCATATTGACACTGGGTTTCTGCGATTCTGCCCTGTGGCAGATCGCGTTGTGTACATTTACGTCGCAGGAAGAAATGTGTCAAAGCACCCCGAAAGTTTAGACAGCCATCCGACAATAGGTTACTAACCGAACATCCTGCTCTGACCTAGTGAGTCCTAGTGTGCCCTGCCACTCAGGAGGGGGCCCACTAGGCACACTTCTGGAAGGAGCAACTTCGGGACGCCTGAAGGCCGTGAAACGACAGCATAATGGGTGCAGTATCAACTCTGGCAACTGAGATCAGCCCATGTGGCCTGGACCCACGCGAAGAGGTGGAGTCTCGAGTGGACCCGAAAATGATCTCAGCGTGCCTGGAGGCGACTCGAAGGCGCACGCCCACTGACTCCCCGACACTTTGTAAGGCCCTCGCAGATCGGGGCTCATCCGCGCAGGGCTGGCGCATGTCACGTCACGCTCCGGTCGCCGGCGGCTGACCTGCTGCGCAAGATACCCATCACGGAGGCAGATGCAGCGGGCGTCTTCGCATCTGGTGTCGCCAGGGCGCGCCTCCAGCGGCGCAACAGAGCCCAGTGGTGAAAGACCAACAGACCTGCGAGCGAGAGCGTGCGTCAGCGCCGAGGCTAGGAGGCCTCACTGAGCTTCACCAGGGGTCCGGATCTAAGCCAGTAGACAAGTCGGACTCCTCCTGTTGGGGGGAATCCTTGGTGAGCGCCCGGCGTCTCGCTGCCAGACCCCCGAAGGACGTCCTGTGATGGTCAGTGATGGTCTCACTGGATTGCCAAGGACTGCCTAAGGACTGCGGTTCCCTCAGAACTGGGATTGCAAGGCGAGGCAGTGAAACTTGCGCGCTGACTCCTCGAGCTGCATGTACGCTGCTCGGTGGCGCTCCTGGGACATGTAGGTTGCACGAAACACCCTGAAAGACCAAACCAGGTCTGCTTCTGGAAGTGCATCCGTAAAGTTGAGCATCAGATTGAGGATCGGCGAACCCATCTGCTTTGGTGGCATATATGCTGATGAACGGCAGCAACTGTTCACCACTACTCTGTGATCCATGAGACTTTGCACTGGCTATCGATCGCTGAAGACTAATCACACTTTAAAGGCTATGTCACTGTCGGAGCCCAGCTTGGAGTCGGAACAAAAAATGATAAGTTGTTTCTGCCAGGTTCTGGGTAGTGCTGGTAGGCAGGGACTCGTGAGTTAGCATCGCCAGCAGGCTCCCTCTTGCCTCGCTTCTGCCCTACCCTTCCACGCTTGCTGCTTTCGAGTCTAGAACGGAACTGTGCTCGCGCGGTCGATGGTAAGAAACCTTCCTCACCGTTGCGCCTGCGACCGCTGTAGTCTCTCCATGAGCTCCTTCTCCTCGCGCTCCATCCTCGCATTTTCTTCGCATACTACACAACACACACACACACACATACACAGAAACAGCACTTCGTGTGAGCATGAAACCGCGCCTGTCGATGTCCGCTAGGCGCTGCCGGCGCTCGTCCTCCTCTCGCAGGAGGCGCTCGCGCAGGGCCCCTCGGGCAAGCTCCTGCAGCTTTCAGGCATGAGTCGCCCTTCGTGGCCCAGAACAGTGCAAGCGCAATAGCCTGCCCGCCCTAGCTTGTCTCTCCTGCTTCGCCCCCTCAGACCGTGCCCGACTCCTCGGAACGTCTCATGTGCTTTCAGGCTTGGGGCGTGCTTCGGATGATTTGCGGTCATGCACCATCTTTGGCACATAGCATAATCCTCCTACCATCTTCTACCGCAATGCCCTGCGCCAGCTTGATGGTCGCCTCTCTGTTTGCACGTGACCCTAGGGAGCGAACGGCGTAAGAAGCGAGCGAACAGACACTGGGGTGTAAGGAAGAGCGAAGGCGTGTGTAAGGGAGCGCGAGCGGAAACAACAAAAACTACCTCTGCGAGTGAAAGAGGCGACCTGAGACGGTGCATCTTTCTATGAGGGACTGAGACGGAAGACGGGCGTTCGGGAGAGCGAATGTGAGACGGATGGAGAAGCAGAGAGAGACAGGACGGAGCCAGGGAGGGATCAGTCCTCGCTGCTTGCGACATCGCTGCACGGACCTCGCCCGCTTCCATGACAAATAGTGACAGAGGAGTAGTAGTAGTAGTAGTAGTAGTAGTAGTAGTAGTAGCAGTAGTAGCAGTAGTAGCAGCTGTAGCAGCTGTAGCAGTAGCAGTAGCGGTAGCAGTAGCAGTAGCAGTAGCAGTAGCAGTAGCAGCAGTAGCATGTATGTAGGCACGCATGCATGAGATTGTATGGATGCATGGGCGTATGAGTGCATGTGTGTATAATGTTGCATGTGTGCATGTATGTATGCATGTATGCATGCATGCATGCACGTATGTATATATATATATGTACATGCATGCATGTATGTGTACATGTGAGCATGCAAGTGCGCATGTTCAAAAATGCTGATATACATGCATGCAAGTATGTGGGTATGTCCGCATCACAGATGATGCGCCCTGCATCCCAGGAAATGTCGACGCACACGAGCTTCCCACTTAAACTGCAAAGCACGAGCAGACACAGCGACAGAGAGAGAGAGAGAGAGAAAGAAAGAGAGAGAGAGAAAGAGAGAGAAAGAGAAAAGAAAAAAACTGTGAGGGGCAGAGAGACTGGAACACAAACATGCATAATGCCACTTGCCTGCTCGGCGCGAGCGAAGGCCTGGCTCACCAGGAGATAAGAGCTGCACTCATTCAGCTTTCAAGCCGACAAAGGGGCAGCTGCCACAACATCCCTTCCGAGAGCATGGGCTGCTAGGGCTGCTAATCTTGTGTCAAAGATGATGTCGCGCCTCATCAGCTGCAGCTTGGCGCTCGAAGTCCACGACTTGCTGATACGCCTGACGTGGCGCCGTACAGTTCTTGTGGACTGCCGTGGCCGCTCTGGAAGAATGAACGGAACTCCTACGTACTGTCTGTCCCATGCAGTCCAGGCACAAAAAGGGATTGTTTGGCGAGTCTGGCCGTTTTAACACGAAAATCGGTCCGGCAAGCTCTTTCGTTGTCACATGTCGTCAAAAATACAGTTGAGTTCGGCGTGAATTGGCTTTCGTTCCTTGCGTGTTTTGTCTGAGTGAGTTACCTGAGGAATCGACCTCTGCTACATGGAGCCAAAAAACTACCCTAAGCCCTTAACCCTAAGCCCTTGCTGGTTGTAGCCCCGGCTCTGGCCGCCTGGCGCTCCTGGCGGATGACATGTCCTGCACCTTGATTTCGCTCTCGTATAATCCTTGCACCACTCAGGGGTCGTATCAAGCAAGCCTGTGCCTGTGCCGGTGTCGATTTAGCCTGATTTAGCTCCGGCAGGCAGACTTCGCATTGGGATACAGGATACCCAACCACGCAGAATCTCGAGTTTGCCCACTTTACGGAGCTCTCATACATTCTCGTGACCAGGCAGTTGCACACTGGCATTCTCTGCCTCTGCATGTGTACAGTACATGTATCGTCGCGGCGCGCTCACTGGGATCTCCCTTTCCGAGAATGCTCCGGAACATGGCAGGGTAGCAAAAACAAGGCAGACGAGCGAGCTTCAGCTTGAGCATGGCTGTGGCCATGTCCATGGGAAATCAAGTGGGAACGAGGTTTTGCCTGAGAATTTCCAAAGCAAAGGATTAGACGATGTCTGACATCGGGGTCCTCATCTTGTCTTGGAGCTTGTGCTGCTGGTCGGCCCGATCCTGCCATGCCCAGAACCGGCAGCTCCAGCAAGATGGCTCAACTTTGCAAACATTCAGGAGGCCGACATTTGGAGAATCATCAAACGACGCTTTGAGATCACATGCTGACTTGTCTGTCAGCAAGGACGACCACCGATGCCCTCTCTGCAGCCGACTACTGGCGTCATTCACACAGATTGATGCTCTGGCAATACAGGGACGACGGGACTACCAAAGACTGCTTCGTCACGCGGAACTTCAAAGCTTGTGGGGTGGAAGCCATGCCAGAAGAGACCACCATCTGCTTGGCACGAAATTCCTGAGCCAAGGCAGTGAAACAGCTTTGGGCCATGTGACATGATGGCTCTGCGTTAAGCTGAGGCCAGTGCAGACTCGAGGGACTCCTTGTGCGCCTTCGGGCAGGTGGCGAAGGCTGCATTACCCTTTCGCATGAAGGCGCATGAAGAATGGACGAAGCTAGGAAAGGACTGAAGATGACTGAAGTTATAAGGGCCTCTTGCAAGGGCTCTCTTCCGCAGCCGGAAGAACTCGGGACAGTGGCCTCGAAGGCCTCCTTCTCCTGGCGCCGCTTTTCGTTGCGCCGCCGGGTCTCCAGGATTTCCTGCGGAAGTCGCTGAGAGATCCAAGCCGAAGCTGGCCCTAGAAGCGCCATCAAGCGCCATGCAGGACTTGTACTGCGGCGAAACCGCTGCTTGACCGCGCATCTGTATGGACTGTGTCGGAGCTCTTGCTGGCCTGGGTCTTCTTTTCGGTTTCTACGATCTTCTTGCGAGTCTTCGCCTGAGCAGATGGCGCAGGGGTCACGCCCGATGGCCGTGAGAGACACTGCCCAAGCTGACGGTCTGGGCCTCTTCATTTCTGAGGAGCCGAATTCGATTGGCGAGGAGGATGGAGTCCTCAAAAACCCAAAACATGACAGCAAGGAAGCCCGGAAGCCTGGAGAGCCTGCTCCGCTTTCTTCCTCGACATCTGAACCTCGGAGGCTCGGAGGCTTTCCGTGGCTTTGTGTCTAAGACAGGGAAACCAAGGAACCCAAGGAATGCAGCCCAAAAGCATTGAAGAGGGCCCCTGACCGTGCCGAGCCCGTAGGCCTTTCCCAAGACGTGATGTAGAGCACTTCGCCAGGCTTCACTGACTCTCATTATTTTGGCTCGCGACTCGCTGCAAGGTCTGAAAGAGGACATTTTAGCCATCTTCACCAACCCTTGATAACGCGGAGCGGAGGCCTCGACGCGAAGTCCTCAAAGTCGAGCGGCGACTCACTGCGTGCTCGGCCGGCCATCGCGTCGAGCCAGGGCACCTGGCACCGGGCAGATGCTGTGGCCTCTCCAAGGGCGGTCCTGTTGGGATCCCCAACTCAGGAGTCTCCAGAGTTCGGACAGAGGCCACGGACTCCCACTCCACGCTTAGTCAAGGCATGTCAAGGCACCACCTGTGCACAGCTACATCTGAGGAATTCCTACTGCTGCTCTGTTCGAACCGCTTTGATGCTGCGGAGTGCCGCATACGAGGCCCATCTGCAGAACGTGCCTGAAGCGTGCTGCCCGTCTTGCAAGCTAGCAACACAGCATGCAACCAGCCCAGCACGAAACTGTAAGCTGAGAAGGAAGCTTGGTCAAGGCTGCTTACATAATCTTACATACGTGGTCGCCTGCCCAGTCTGTGCCTTCCTTGTCCTCGACGGCATCGTGCGATTTTCCGGTGGTGAGACTGTCAAAAGCCGTGTTACACGGCCTCGACTCCATGCAAATGGCACTCGTTCAGAGGGGCTCCGTGATCTGCAGGCAGCACAGGTCATGCTGCAGCATTGCAACATGCATCCCATCAAATTGCACAAAAGCAAAGGGGGACTCACCGGCAGCTTCAGTGCTTCAGCTGTTTGCCGGGTTTGCCGACACCCGCCTCGTCCGGCATGTGACGCCGATGCGGCGGTCTGAGAAGCCGATGCTCCTCGGAGGCAACGAACTGATTCAATGAAGGGGCGAGGTGCTCTCTGCTCTGAACTTGCACGCGCGAGGTCTCTCGCATCAGCTACTGGGCAACTTCTGCACATGTCTGTTCAGCAAGCGTAGGGCAGAGGCCGGATCTTCCGCAGCACGCACTGCTGCTGGCACATCCGACCTTTGAGGAACTTGAAGCTGTCAACTAGGCGCTGGTAGCCGCGTGCTTTCTAGCAGATTCTAGCAGTTCTCGGAGGCCGGCTTGAGCGAGTCAAAGCCTGAGAGTGGCAGAGGCCCTGTGCTCTTGAGCGAGGTCGCCTCAGAAGCAATTCATAACATTTTTTTCTCGTAGCTCTCCCAAGCTGGAAAACAGCACCAGCTAAGTTCCTGGCAGTGCCATGGAAGCCTTTGCTGGACGCTGGATCTGAGTGGGCAGTTTGAGGGTTCCGCAGGGCTTTCCCACGTGATTTACACTTTGCAACGGTTTAAGTCCTGCACCTTCTGGCCTGGCCATGCCACCTGACAACACCGCCAGGCGCCATGTGCCACTCAGACGAACGTCATAACTTTACACCCCGAAGGCTTGGGCGCCCACCTGCGTCCTCCTGCGAAACCGCAAGAGCCTGGGTGACTTCCTGGCGATGCGACCCACGCCATCCCACGCCCATAGGAGGCTCTGGGATGCATGGATTGTGCCATGTATTTGTGGCACCACCCAGGCCGCAACCAGGTACCTTGCATTGTCACCTAGAGTGTTGGTCGCCTTGGCGGTAGGCGTTGTAGCCTCAGCACCTGCATCGTCCTTGGTGATATGATACCAGCAGAATCGGCGAGACTTGCACAGACAACTTCTTATACTGGCTAAGCCAAGCCAAGCTGCAGAGTTAGGCACGCGCCGCGGACTTTGCCTCATGCGCTCGCCAGTGGCAAAGTTGTGGTAGTACCTGTCTGCAGAACAATTCAAGTCGATCCTGGTGTCGGCTTGCGCTGTCTACAGATGGCGCTAGCTCCAGGCCTGTGTCGCACAGGATCTACAGCGAGTGCACAGGTGTAGGTTCTACAGTATCACGGAGCTTTTCCAGGCGTAGCGCGTAGGCTGCTGCAAATGGGCATCTTGGTATTAGGCAAGTGTGGCATGGTTCGGACTGCCTCACACCACGAGCATCGTAGAAGGGGTGCCAGTCAGTGCTGAGAACCGACCTTTACGCAGCCATCGCTTGCACAGTAGAACGAACCCTGCAACAGAGAATGAGCGGAAGGGCTGCGAGGAAAGAATACTACGAAATGAAGCATGGCCCGACACACGTTGCTCTTGGCACTCAAAAGGTCATGCTCCCCTTCGAGCTGCATGCTACGGCTGTTCCACTGATCGTTGTGGCGCAGAAGCGTTCTCACTTTCAGCATGGAGTGTGTGGCAACTCGAAATCTGCTTGCAATGCTGTGGCGTTGCTCATGATATACCCTTGATGCTGAGATAGGAGCTCGTAAGCTGAGTCATCCAGTGCTGGAAGGTCCTCCGGCTTGACGGCCATCTTCTTCACCCGTTCCTGGCAACGGCAGCATGGCGACTTGCAAGCCTCTGTTCTCTGCACTCCCAGAAGCATCTACTGTAGCTCCCTCTGGGCAACCATTGATGCACATGTCTGCATACATTCTATTCTGGCTGAGCGAACTCGTGGTCTCCGCCTTTGCAAACTCGGCGTACCTGTTGTACCTGAACGGCGCGCTGGCTGAGACACATGTTGACATGGAAGATGCTGTCTTCGAGCACACCACGAAGAAGAAAGACAATGGCAAGAACATATGAACATGGAGCTGCAAGCGTGTCGAATCAATCCTCATGACCCATGGCGACTGCCCTACTAGCATTAAATCACCGCTGAGGTCCAGGCTGCTCCACGTAGTTTATTCTCCGCGGCCTGGGATGCATGACCATGAGTCTTGCCCGTAAGTGAAGGAACAATCCGGTGAACCACGGGGTCTGGGCCTGCAGTGCAGGTTTTGGGATCACACTGCGGTGGGCTTGGCATCTTGAAATCTGGAACGAGGTTTCCGGACTGGGGGGAGGTGAATGTTTGAAGTACCGGATGATGACCCCCCTATCTACCAGAGAGCTCTCTGCAGAAGTTGTCAGCCAAGATGCTGGTTCTCTTTGCCGTCAAGAGGAAGCATCTTGATATGCTTCATAGCATAGCATTTGTGACCTCAACATCGAGGATGGGTTGAGGCAGTTGAGAAACGAGGGACAGACACAAGCTATCTGCGCGCGCATCTCCTCCACAAATACACTGGGCCCAGCACACAAGGACTTGTCCGTGAATGTACCTTGACAACCAAATGCTGCTAATGGGATGCGAGCTGTCGAAGCGGACATGACGTGGCACAGCTGCTTACTGTCGATATGGGATACCACAAGCTTGATCTCACCCAAAACACCGAGTGCATCCGAGTACACGGCAGTGGATCTTGGCCGGAAGCACGACGCACAAGGCGCAGGGCACCAAGCAGAAGGGCCTGCCACTCGCCCCCACCCCCAACCGGATCTTGTTTGCACGAGAGTTGCTCTCCCAGCACTTCGTGTCAGTGGTAGGTTTCTTCTGCTACTTTCTGAGATTTTCTGAGTGCTTGACGCGTGCTCCTTGCGCGAGCCTTGACATCGGACGGTGTAGCTAGCAGAACAGCAGAACTGCCGGGGTCTACACGCCGTGTTAAAATTTGGCACCCTTCCAACAAGATCCACACCTTTCCCATGCAAGTCAGCGTAGCACTTCAAGCACAGGTAGTCCTTGCACAGGTCTGGTTGAGTTGTACAAAGAAGGCACATGCTCATCTACCCCGGTCCTACTGCGACCTACGTGTGACGACCTGTTGATTTCGCTAACTGATGCACGGATGTCCTTGCACTCCAAGCCTCGGGGTTCAGCATCGAGCAACTCTGCAAGGATTCTGCAAATATGGCTAGCGAAGCAATTGGAGAAGCGAAAACCTGAGAACTAGCAAACCCAAATTTGAACATGTAACATACTTCCTAATTCTTGATTGCTCGCCAACAGCATGGTGCAGAATTTGTAAGTCAGCGGCAGAAGCTGAGGGCCGTGGTCTTGCAGTTCACGCCTCAGAGGGCATTCAAGTTTGCCCCTGTGCCTCAAGACTTGCTGGGCAAGCCACAATGTAACTCGCCAGCAGCTAGCTTGTTGAGGTCGAACTTTACGTCCTCCAAGTGCTCTGAACATCAGGGCTACTTTCCAGACACACTCCTCATGCACCGCAATAAACGGACACATCGATGGTGACTTAAATCAAAGACTCCCAGTCCCAGCCTAACCCACATGCCAAAGCAAGCCCCGCCACTAGATGCTTATTTCTTCCCCCTTGGAATCCCATGGACTCAATCTCAACCCACCTCACCCACTTCGCAACTGAGTGCACCCGCCCCACCCCGCCACTTCCGCTGCCATGAAACCTCCACTACATGAAAATTTCTCACAGAAAAACTCACGCCTACTACTCACGAGAAACTCACGGCTCCGAAACCGATCACAAGAAACGCACACAGGCCTCTCTAGAAGAGACTCTCAGCTATATTACTGACATGATTTCCGTCAGGCGCTACCATGCGCTACAGTGCTACAGGACATCCAGACTCCACACTCAAAATGCTTGACCTGCCTGCGTTGGACTCGCATATTGTTACCGCTGTCCAGGTTGATAGCGCGGAAGCTTGTGAGAGGGGACAGCACAAAAAGCCACCAGGTGTCCTCCTTGACCTCACCAGACCAGTGGGCCACCATTTCGCTGTACCTCGTGAATCGGTGTATGTCTGCAGCATGGATGCATGGATGAAATGGCATGAACAGCGGAGTCTGGACGACTGCGACTGCGACGAAACGCGACAAACACACAGTCTGCAACCCTGCGAATCCTTTGTTCCTGTAGGCAGAGCTTGTGCATGACGGAGCTGCCTTTGGGTTCTATGCTGATTATTCTGGCCGTGAGGCTGAC